GAAGCCACTCTGCCCACAATGACATCAGCTCATCAGCCTGTTTCTCTCAGGAAGAGACAGAATCCAGCCCGTCGCATATCCCAAGTCCAGGGTCACACCTCTCTAGGTGCGCACTAGGGGTAGACACCCCTGCTCTCCACGCTGAGACAGTGGGAGAAGGGACCACAGCTGCCTCCTAAGAAGTAACTTCACCAATCTGTCTCCTTTGTCCTCTTGACCCCTTTGTCACCTCAGTCTGGGTCAGGAGCCTCCACGTGAGGGACCCAAGAGCTGTGCCGCTGCCTCTTGGCCACCGGCTTGCACTGTGGTCTGGCTCTTCCTCTTGGTTTACAGCATCTGTGGAAGTGTGGTGCCTCAGAGGACACTTGTGTTTTGGGACTTGCGGAAGCACTAGTGAGGACACTTATTGATGGGCAGTGGTCAGGTAGCTTGATGCAGATACTGTCTCTGAATTAGGCCTTGAGGGTCAGTAATGTGAATATTTCAATAATCATAATAGCGTTTCCCATTTACTAAATTCTCTGATGTTCCAAGCATTTCACATTATCTTATATGACCCTCAAAACAGTCCCATTTTACAACTGAGGAAACAGAAGATCCCAGAGAGGAAACCATTTTCCCACAGCCATACAGCTGATAAGGCCCAGAGTAGGGATGTATCCACGTCTGGTGGATTCCAGCTGCTTCCCCTGCCTGCTGCCCAGACAGGGCAAGACGGCGTCTTCAGGGGGGTGGATGAGGCATCCCAGGAAGGGGACACAGCACAAGCAAAGGTCTGGGAGCTGGAAAGAGGGGAGGCCAGGACAAAGAGGCCCTGAGCAGTCTGGGGATTGGTGGGGGCTGAGTGGCACTGAGGGCAAGGTTGTGGGTTCCAAGGACAGAGGCGCGCTGTCCATGGGGGGCAGCATAGCCAGCTGGAGAGCCCGGGAGGAGGCATCTGCCTCTGGAAATGCGCCCAATGGAATGGCAGGCTCCCTCTGGGAGGCCGCTCTGGCTACAGAAGCATCTCATCGTTAGGTGTTTGGGGCCATTGCAGACGTGGCAGGATGGCAAATGCTCTGCCTTCTTCGTCTTGACAGCTCCAGGGAGGGGAGACCAGCCAGGGCCTGGCCATGCACTGTGTGACACCACGGCCCTCGCTGCCCCTCTCTTGTCCACCTGCACACGGAGGCAGCATTCAGTACTGGCTCTCCCAGCTCTGAACCACAATCCCAGCTTCTAGACTGAAGCCAGGCAGCAAAGGATGATTCCCCAGATTATGCCAAAAGGCCCTGTTTGGGTCCAACTCCCCGACACTAAGCTGGAGTCACTGGGGAAGGACAGAGTAGTAGTGAAGAGTGTGTGGTCTGGACTATACAATACACTCAAGTCCCAGCTCTGGAAGCCCTGGGCATGGACCTGGAGCAAGGCACTCACCTCTCAGGGCCTCAGATACCCTGGGTAAACTCAGGGCTGCTGACACCCACCTCTGGGTGAAGTGAGCCAAGGCACCCAGGCAGTGGGCGAGAGGGGTCCCCTTGGTTCACAGCCATGACTCACTCATTCACCCCGTGAATACTCACTGAGACTTCTGAAGGCACGGGCAGGGCAAAGTTGGTGCAACTGCTGCAGAATGAACGAATAAGAACACAGGCTAAGGGCTGGGTGAGCGCGCACCTCAGTTCATGCTCTCAGCAGCCTGTGAGGGAGGTGCTAGCATAATCCCCATTTTACAGATGAGGACATTGAGGCCCAGAGAGGTGAACTACCTTGCCAACAGTTACACAGCAAAGAAGGGGCAAAAGTGGGATTCAAACCTATTCTCTTGAGTGAATTAATTCATGGAGATGTGTATTCCTAAATCCCAGGACATATTTAGGAATAAGGGATGGGCAAGGCTATCCTTTCCATCCCCCAGGTTAATTATTTGGCTACACTATGATCATAACCTGTCTGCAAAGGCTCATCCTATTCTAAGCAATAATAACAGCAACAAGCACTCACATTTATTGAGCACTTACTCTGTGCCAGGACTTCCAGTCCCTGTCCTCTCAGCACTGGAGGAGGCAGGTGCTACCATTATTCCCATTTCACAGATGGGAAACTGAGACTCAGAGAGGTTAGGGAACATGTCCTGAGTCACAAGGCATGGAAATAGTGGCACCAGGACTGAAACTCAATCGGTCTCAGGACGCCCTGTGTCCACCAAGATATCCCTAGACAGGTTATGAGGTCAGAGTTTCGGTTTGAGTGCTGGCTCTGCCGTTTGCTGGCTGGTGAAGCCGGTACCTCTGTGGCAAAGTCAAGGCAACAATGCTGACCCTGGTGGGAATGAGACTCCGTTGATATGACTGATGTAAAGCCTGGGGTGGCACCTCCACGTTATAGGTGCTTAATATGTCATCACTGCTCCTGTTTTCATCATTGTCCCCATGGGAGTGGCCGCCCAGGAGGCAGGGAGCCCCTTGCAGAGGCCAAGCTGTGCCCAGTCCGGCTCCCCTGCCAGTGCCCCACCCACCCCTCACGTCAGCCAGATCCTCCTTTCTCCAAACCTCAGGAAGCTGGAGTTCGAGGTGGGGCTGCGGTTCACCAGATGCCACAAATATTTACCTTTGGAGACCTCAGCCCAGATACAGAGGGTGTACAGGATATAAGGCTGGACTTCCAGACCCACTGCCCAGGTGAGGAGAGCAGCAGGCCGACGCCTCCACGTGTCCAGGTAAAAGGGTAGGGAAGGGGCTAAGGGCCTAAGTCACCAGGAAGGGACTGAGCTGGAGGCATCTATTGGGGTCAGGTCAAGAGCGGGAGGGAGGCCTGGCCCCGGTGTAAGATCCCTCAGTCCACTAGGACCTCTGAGGGTCAGGGCCAGGGGGTAGAGAGGTGCCCAGCTTCCTCACCCAGAAGACCAAAGAGCAGTGATGAGGGACTGGACTGGCCCAGTCTTTCCCCGACCTCATCCCCACGACATTAATCCACTCTGCACGCACCAGCTGCTCTGTGGCCAGCCCTATGCTGGGGTGATTCTGGGGATAAGAACTATCAGACAGTCCTGGCCATCAAGAAACTCCCAATATGGGCCAACATGGTACATGCTGTGCTCAAGGAAAGCCCAGGGACATGGTGGTGGAGGACAGTCAGGGAAGGCTTCCTGAAAGAGGTGATATGTTGGTGGAGAAGCTCAGTAGAAGTTGGCTGGGCAAAGGAAGAGAGAAAGGCATCTCATGCAAAAGGAACAGCACAGGCAAAGGCCAAGAGGTGAGGTGCAACGTGGTGGGTGTGTGTATCGTGCTTGGATTTGTAGAGGAGACAATTTTCCACAAGAGGGGAGGCTACCATCCTCTTGCTTCCCTGAGCACCTCTGATCAGAAGAGGACAGAGGGGTGTGAATTGATAATGAAGGCAAAAGAGAATCAAGGTATTTGAAAGAAAAAGACAGTGGGGTGGGGCCGGGGGGCTTCCCGGGTAAAAGAGCAGGGTGCAGGCAGGGCGTCACCGCTGTCTTCTGACTCTGACTGCAGGTGGCTCCTTCTGACCCTAGTATTAGCAATAATAACTCTCATCATCAGAGTAACAGCCAACACTCATTGAGTGCTTGCGGCGTGCCGGGCCACAAAAGGATGGCCCTACTTAATCCTCCCAAAAACCCTGTCATGTAAGTATTATTATTATTACCCCTTACTTTATAGATGAGAAAACTAAGACAGAGAGGGTAAGTCACTGGCTTGAGATCACACAGCAAGTGGTAGAGGCCGGCCTCCAATTCAGGTCTGTCTGACTCCCAGGCCCACGATATTTCTCCTCCACCCTCAGGTCTCCTGAGACTCAGGGATGAGGGTCCTATGACTTGACAGGGGTCCTCGTGGCCCAGACCTTCCCAGATTAGCAGGCTCACATTCTCCCACTATTCCAGGGCTCCCAGGGGCCATTCATTCATTCAGCAACCATTTACCTACTAAACACCCACTGTGTGCCAGGAACTAGGCTGGCTGGTGGGGACACAGTGGGGTGCAGGTAGACCCAACCCTTCCTCCCGGAGCCCTTGGCCTGGTCAGGAAGGCAGATATTGAAGCGTTACTGCAAGTGCATCAGAGAGCTCACACTGCGCCAGCTCACAGAAGACACTCGTCATCCAGAGGCCACGTCTGTCTGAGGCAACAAGAAACCCGGGTGCTGAGCCGAGCAAGAGCCCAGGTCTCTGGGTCAGGATCCTCCGTCCCTCCAAGCAGGACCGCCCATAGGAGGCAGAAGGGTGCTTGGGGGCAGAGCCAGGATGCAGGCTGCCGAGCTCAGGATGAGGTTATAGCTGCGGATGCTCCACACCCTGCAGGGGACAGAGCAGCCCAGGAGCCAGGACACCCCAAGCTCCTCTCCCAGGAGGCACCCCTGGGCCTCTCCTCTCTCTTTCTGCCTTTCTCTTCCTGGCTCCAAACAGCCACCTACTCCCTCCTCAAACCACTGAGTTTTATGACTTAAGCAAAGAGCTTTCCTACCACTTTGCATCTTACCTGAATTCTCATCTCCCTCCAGCCCCCAAACTTCCTGTCCTGGGCACATACCAGCCTCCAGGGTGACATTTCTCCAAGTGTGGTCCAGGCTCCCTGGTTGCAGGAGAGGGAAAGCTTTACAGAGAAAGGGACACGTAAGCGGTTTTCAAGAATGAACAGGAGTTCAGCAGGCAGATAAGGAAGCAGGAAGAGCAGGGCAAACGCACACACAGGAGAGAACGAGGTAAGTTCTGGGAACTTCAAGCAGCTTGGAAAGACTGGAAATTTGTAAAGCAAGAGGGGAACCCCAGGAAGGGAAGTTGGCTGAGGAACTGAAGAAGCAGAAGTGTTTTGTCCTGAGCACTGTTTTGTCTTGTAAGAAAATAGCTAATATCTTCCAAGTGCTTGCCACGCGAAAGGCACTGTGCCAAATGCTTTCTAGATATTAACTCATTTAATCCCGACTCCATGAAGTAGTGGTTATGATACCCATTTTCCAGAGGAGAAAACTGAGGCACAGAGAGGTTAAGTTGATTGTCTAAGGACACAGAGACCCAGTAGGGCTCCAGAGCCCACTCTATGGACCACCTCACTAAACAGCCTCTCCTGGACTCCATGCCCCAAGTCACCAGGCGTGGTGGGCCTGGCCTGGGTCTCTCTGCCCAGCTAACAGGGCCCTCTATGCTCACCCCAGGTTGTGCCATGGGCCACCTGCCCACCCCCAAGAAGATGGCCAGCCCACGGACCTTCACCTTCCTCTGTGGTTTGCTGGCAGCCAATCTGGTGGGAGCCACCCTCAGCCCTCCTGCGGTTCTCAGCCTCGGCCCAGAAGTCATCGAACAAAGTAAGTCTTGGCCGCCCAAGGCCTCACCACCATAAGGCAAGGGGGCAGGTAAAGCAGCCCTCCAAAGGAGGGAGAGAGTTCCCCACCACTGGGGGTACGCAGGGCACTGTTGGGCTCCCAGGTCTTGGGTGAGACTTGATTGGGTGAGTTACAAAATTGGGGAGTGTCTACGATCCTCAAGAGTCCATGATTCCAAGATCCCCTTCTTCTTAAATTCCACGATTCCAAAACGTACTACTCTGAGGTTCCACGGCCTGCAGAAGGGGTGTGCGGCCACTGCACGCGACGACGCAACTGCCTCTCCGGCCGCTCTCACTTAAACCCCTTTGCCAGGGCGCCTCTTCTGAGTTAGACCCAGGGCGCAGCTAGTCTCCAGAGCAAAGACCCTCAGCTGGGAGTCTGGCCGCCTGGGCCACGGGCACAGCTTTACCACGCTCCAGCTCTGTGGCCCTGGTAACTCCCCGAGCCTCGGTTTCCTCCTCTGGAAGAGGGTCCGCCTCCCTAGGTTGTTGGGAAGTAACAACAACCTTCTTGTTACAGGAAGTAACAAGAGCTTCATGGCCTCTACAGCTCAGCTTGTCAATCTCAGCACTGCTGACCTTGGGGGCCGAATACCTCTGTTGTGGGTGGCTGTCCTGTGCACTCTAGCTGTTTAGCAGCGTCCTCGGCCCAGCTGTGACACCAAAAATGTCTCCAGACATTGCCAAGTGTCTCCCAGGGCACATGGCCCCAGTTGAGAACCACTGCTCCAGTGTTGTCCTCTGAGAGGGAGGAAATCAGTGGGCTCTGGAGGTCCCCCTGGAGCAAGTAGAGACCAATCCTCTGTATGCAGTGGGTCTGGGCTGCATCTGGATGGGCAGGGATGGGCCAGGTCCTGCAGGGCCAGACAGGCATTGTGACCAGAGGAGGGAACCCCTAGGAGGGATGGGAAGCAGAGAGCTCTTGACACTCTTTGGGGAGGCATATGTGCCTTGGGCCCACGCTGAATCGCAAGCATGCGAAATTTCAGCCAGAAGGAGCTTGGAGAAGAGCAGCCATTTGGGTTCCCCAGCAGCAGCGTCTGAGTTCAGGGGCTGTGTGCAGGTGGGTCGTCCTGGAGGTGATCCCAGGAAACACGTGCAAGAGAGCGGGAAGCAAGTCAGGTAAGGGGAAGCCAGTTGCCACCGGGAGCTGCAGCTCAGCCCTACTGGGCATCTGTGTTAGTCAGGGCCAGTCAGAAGCAGAAACCACACAGTAAGCCCAACAGATGGGTTTGTATGAAGAATTATCAGCAGGAATTGGAATACTGGAAAATTGGCTAAAAGGAAAAAAAGTGAGAACGCCAAATGAGACCCTAGGGATTGGGATGCAGTAGGGAGCTCAAATCCAAGTAATGAAGAAACTTGGAGGAGAGAATCCTCCCCAGAACTCATGGGAGGAGTGTGTTGAAGCCCCTTGAATGGTGGGGAAAGTCCCTGAGCTGTCCAGGGTGAGAGCTGGTCCACGGTTGGCAGGCTGAGGCCACCTGGCAGAGAACTGCCTGCCAAGGAGCAAATGGATTTCTTTGGGAAGCAGCCCCTGGACAAAGGGATTGCTGTTGACTCACTGGGAAGTTGTCCCTGGGTAACTGCCTGGAAGGGAGCTGGGGTGCCCCCAGCACGGGCTGCCCATGGGAGTCCACTCAACTCACAGCCTGAAGCTCTGGGAGGTGATGCCACTGGAGTCTGGCAAGAGGAGCACCAGGGCCAGGAGGGGAAGCTCCTTCCTCCCCCATGTCCCTCCAGAGCCTCTACTGACAGTGCTGAACAGTGCGCCAGCTGGCAGAGGAGGAATATTTACAGGGACCAGCTCCATTGTCACAGGGCAGGCAAAAAGGCCCACTTTGTCTCTGAGAGGCACCAACACACGGGGACTCTGGGATACAGTGTCCCCACGGGGCGGTGACACACCTAAGTCCTCCTGCCCGAGGGTGGAGGGAGCTGGGGTATTTATACACCAATTCCCGTCAGTCACTGGCTGAGGTTTTCTTCTGGAGCATCAGCTCTCCAGCACTCTGACCTGCTCTGCACACAAGTCAAATGGGCTCCAGCTGTCAGGAAAAAAAGTCCAACAGTGACCAGAACCCAGGGGTCCTGGCTCTTCCTTTCTCTCCTCAGCACCTGGGGCTCTTTGGACAACAGGCCCATAGGATATGGATGTCAGAGAATCATTAGCAAGTGAGTTTCAGCAGCAAAACAGCCCCAAACAAGGCCTTACGAGTTCCCTGCCTCTTGGCTCCAGAGTGTTTGCCCCTGGCTAGGGAGAGAGTTGCAGGGCCATGTGCCGGGTGTCCTGGCCAACACTCCCGGCAGAGGCTGGCAATGTTCAAGGGTGTGAATGGTCCCACCCGTGCCCAGCCACAGTCTTCATGTGAAAGCGACCCATCCGGACCATCGTCCTGCAGGCCACATTTACACAGTGGAGATGATCAGCATGGAGCCATCCAGAGCCTCACCTTATATCCCAGTCCACGTAGCCCTGAGTGATGTCCCCTTCCAGCCTGGAGCCCCCACCAAGCCATCCTTCTCGCCCCCCCTGCTGGACCCTAATCCCTGGGATCTGTCTCCAGGGCTGACACAGAAACTGAAGGATCACGATGCTGTCAACACCCTGCAGCAGCTGCCGCTGCTCAGTGCCATAAAGAAGGAGTCGGTTGGGGGCATATTCAGCAGCCTGGTGAGGTCCGTCCTGAAGCATATCGTCCGGTAAGTGGAGCAGAACCAAGTCGGGAGCTAGCTCTTTGCCCACACATCTGCCCGGGACACGCTTTGCATGCTCAATCGATCGGTCAACAAGCATTGGTTGGTATCAGCTCTGTGCCTGACCGTGAAGGATGGCTCAAACAAAGCCTCTCCCTCAGAGGCTCCCAGAGGAGTAACAATAACCGTAAGAGAGTGACCCAGGAACCCTAAGGGGGGTGACCTCAGAGGAAGGTCACCTGGTGTGGGAGGGTGAAGGGATAAGGCGATGCTTCTCAGTGGAGGGGACAGGTGAGCCAATGACTCCATGCTCACCAGGAGACAAGAAGAAATGGCATTCCAGGCAGAGGGACTGGCCTGAGGAAAGGCATGGGCAGGGGGAGGTGAGGGTCAGAGTGGCCGGTGCTCAGACCCCAAGGCCAAGAGGGAGAGATCAGCAGGGCCAAGGCTCAGATGGTCTTACAAGTCAGCCCCAGGAGCTTGGATTCATCTCCTAAGTGATGGGGGAGCCATGGAAGTGTTGCGGGCAGGGGAGAGGAGAAGGATGGGGACAAGACCGTGTTGAGGAGGAGTCAGCACACAGGGCTTGGGTCCAGCTGCTGGCTGGGCACTGGGGGGTTGGAGACAGGAAAGATGGAGGGAAGCTGATCTGGGGACGATGCTCAGTGAACATGAGGCATGAATCTCATCTCTCTCGTGTCCCATCCAGGCTGAAAGTCACCTCAGCCAGTTTCCACCAGCTGCAGGTGCAACCCCTACATGATGGCCGGGAGCTGATGATCAATGTTCCCCTGGACATGGTAGCTGGATTCAACACGTGAGTGTCCCCTCAGTCAGGCACAGCTGGCCTGACAGTTTCCTCCACTCATTCTCCCCACCCCCATCCTCCATGCAGGTGTCTGGAAAAGAGAGTTCCAAGCAGAGGAAAGAGCAAGGGCAAAGGCCCTCAGGCAAGAGTGCACTTGCCTTGTTCACAGAACGGAATGAGAGCGGGGAAAGGGGGCAGTGAGGTGGTGCCCCAGTAGGCATCTGGGGCCAGATCGTACAGGGCCTTGTGGGTCAAGGTGAGGACTTGGTTTTACCAAGCGAGATGGGAGCCGTGCAGGGCTCTAAGCAGAGGAGGGACATGACATGATTTCACGTTCTTCAAGAAGCCCTCTGGCTGCTGTGTATGGGGGCAAGAGTGGAGACAGGGAGGCTATCCAGAAGCTACTGCAATAATTCAGGAGGAGACAATAATAGCATGGACCGGGGTTTAGGAACAGGAAGGTGGTGAGAAGTAGACAGATTCCAAATACGTCTCGGAGGACACAACAGGATTTCCTGACAGATTGAATGGGGGCTCGGGGTGGGGCGGGAGGAGAGGGGAGATTGAGGGGTCAAGGCAGCATGGAGTGGCCAGCAAACAAAACAGGGAAGATCATGAGAGGAGAAGATTCGGGGAAGGAGCCATAGTTCAGTTTGTACATGTTAAACCTGAGATGCCTGTGAGACATTTGAGAAGTGAGTATAAGTTTGGAAGCTACTGACATAGGCAGAGGATTTAAACCAGGAGAGGAATCCAGAAACTGAGCCTGGGACACAATGAAGTCAACAGTTGAGGAGACGAGGAGAACCCAGCAAGGAGCCTGAGAAGGGAGGAGTGAGAGCCAGGAGACAGAGGTGGAAAGCAGGCTTGGCTTGATCCAGCCTGAAGCTGGGATGGAGCTCACAGCATGGGGCTCCTCCACTCCCAGGCCCCTGGTCAAGACCACTGTGGAGCTGCACATGGAGGTGGAGGCCCAAGCCATCATCCACGTGGAGACTAGCGAGAGAGACCACTCCCGCCTGGTCCTCAGCAACTGCTCCAACAGCCACGGGAGGCTGCGCATCAGCCTGCTACATAAGTGAGTGTGACCTCCTCCCACTGGGCTCCTGGCATGCCTGGGAGGGAAGCCAGGTGGTGTCCTGGCCCCATGTTACAGATGGAGAACATTGAAGCCCACAGAAGGAAAAGGACTTATCTCTCCTGACTCCTGATCTGGAGCTCCCTCCAGGAAATCTGTGATGTCAAAGAGAGCTCAAGATATCAAGGGTGAAGTGATAATGATGGGATTTCAGGCATCATGCCAGAAATTGGGGCAAACTTTTGAAGGTGGAGAGGAGGCTCTTTCCTAGGCCCCTCAAACCACACAGGTAGACTAGGGTGGAGCCATGGGTATAAACTGTGGAGTCAGGCAAACGTGTCTCCTTCATTTACTGTCCAGGTGACGCTGGGCAAGTCACCTCCCCATGCCTCACCTTCCAGGCCACAGTGAGAGGATTAACAGGGCAGCAGCGCTAAGCACTCAGCTGAGGGCAGGGCACGCAAAAGATGCTCAAAGACATGGTGCTTCCCTCCATCTCTCCTTAGCAGGAGAATGGGGGGGATGCCAACTGCCCTCATCCCAGTGTCCAGCACGAATTCCTAAAGACAAGCCCCAGGCCCTGTCCCTGAGAACTGTCTGCCACTGTCTACACCAGGCTCAGGGTCTACCCCAGCCTTGTTTCTAATAGGCCCTGTGCCTTGGGCAAGTTCCTTCCTCCCCTGGACTCAGTCTCCCCTCCTGTGAAACAGGGGAGGGGTGATCATCTCTGACCCTGCCTCATCTCTCTCCTCTTCTCCTCTTGGGAAGGCGCTCCTTCCTGCTCAACTCCTTAGCTGACAAGGTCATAAGCCTCCTGGTGCCAGCCCTGCCCAAACTGGTGAAAAGCGAGGTAAGTGGAATCAGGGTCTCTCTGGCCTGTGAAGCTTGCTCCCCCTGTGGTTGGGGATGGAACTGCACGCTGGTGCTAAGGGACCTGCGTTTCCTTGAGTGGGAAGCTTCTGGGCTTGGGTCACTCTTTCAGCAGTGGATTCTTGAGATCAAGGTAATGAAACTCCCAAAAGTCAGCCAGGGGAACTTGAACAGTGATGTGCTGACAATTGCTCACAATTGACTCAGGAGGGGTTGGCTGAAGGAAGGGAGCTCTGATTTGTAACATTTACTGATTTCCTTGATGTAAACACCCCTTCCATTGCCAATTTCAAGCTACTAGTGTGATGTCACTGAGCAGAGTCAGGAAGAGATGCCTGGTAGCCCACTCTTGTATGGCATTTCCACCATGCAGGTACAACAGATGTAAAAAAGCTAAGAACAATAGATAACAGCAAAAAAAAAAAAAAACAAAATAATTAGGAAGTAATGAGTTTTGAGTTTTCATTGACTTTGATCTTAGCATAACTTATTTAATTGTAAGTTTATACAACTTAATTTTAATAATGTCAGGTTTAGCACCAAGCTCAGATATTCCTAAAAATTTAACAGTTGGCCCTCGTAAATTGGTCCAAGCTGGCTCGAGCACACCAGGGCCTCACACCATCCTGGTTGTGTCATCAGGGGTTTGTCACCCACCAGGTCTTGTTGCACTTATTTTTCTTATGTTTCTTATTCATAAACACGAATCCATCTCATTTTATATGTCCCTTCAATGTCACAGGTAAACTAAAACTCTATAAGTTGGATTCATCCACCGTGACCATTGATTTTCACTGTAAATTCCAAGATGTGTTCACAACAGTGATTCTCCTGGGCTTAAAAACACCTTGTCAGGGACTTCCCTGGCAGCCCAGTGGTTAAGACTCCACGCTTCAACTGCAGGGAGCGCAGGTTCGATCCCTGGTCACGGGACTAAGATCCTGCATGCCGCACTGCGCTGCATGGCCAAAATGAAATAAATAAATAATAAAAACACCTTGTCAAATAATTAATATACTTTTAATAAAAAAACTTTTTTGAATGGAAAACACACTATTGTAACCAAAACTTTTGGGAAAAAAATACCCATAATCCTTCAACCTTAACTTGGCGGTTATTTTTTCTTTTGCATGTTGTTTTCCAAATCTCCACCCACATGCACTCAGATTTTTATGTGGCTGCACTCGACATCAATATTATTTGATATCCTCTACAGTGTGTCTATTTCCTATGATAGATATGATAATCATAACTATTTTAATAGCTGCACCGTATTTAATACTTCTTAAAACCATTCCAGAGAGCCTTCTGAAAGGACTCTGAAAGTAAATAATTCTGTAAAACTTAGCTTTACTTATGTGAGGTACTTTTTCTCTTAAGAAATTTTTTTTTCTATTTAAAGGTGGCAGTTTCTTAAAGTAGAGCCCAGCTGGAAATTTTTTCCCAGCCTCCAGCAAAATCATATTTTAACTGGCATTATACTTTAATAGCTAAAGATGTGTCTTCCACTAGAAAAGATGGCAAGAACTTGGGATTATAAAATGTTCTTTGCATGATATCTGTTTTTAAGGGTGAAAAGCCAAATAAAGTGAAAACTGGCATTCCATTAATCATCATGGTTTCCCACCATGAATCACTGGATTTGAAACTGCAGTCCTATGAATATTTTACTTGGCATGAAGGGAAAAAGGCGCAGCATGTTTAAATCTGGCAGGAGCCCATCTAGAGAATGCTGATGCCCCTTTCAGTGTAAATATGTGGGTCCCAATCCCAAATGCACATCAGAACCTCTTGGGAAGGCTTTTTAAAATACTGATATCAGGGCTCGACCTGAAAGATTCAGATTTAATTGGCCTGGTGGGGCCCTGGTATCCCGGAGGATCCTAGCTGCCCCAGAGGAGGATTCTAATACGTAGCCAGGGTTGAGACCCAGGAGTGGAACTGAAGGAAGGGGAATTGTGGGAGAAGACGCAGAGGGTGCCAGCGACACCCTTCCCATGAGGAACAGGCAGTGAATGCTGGGAGTCTCTGAGCTCAACTCCTCCATCCTTCCCGGGTTCAGGGTTGGCAAAGCAGCTGGAGCAGGGAACAGGATTTTCATAGGAAAAATTAACATTCGTCAAAGTGCATTGTCATTTCTCGAGAGTAGCAATGGGTGGTCAATCAGAAGGTTCTTCACTGGGGAAATTGTACCTAAGACAAAATGACAAAATCTCAGAGCACTGCCCTGGAAAACAGGCTGCCTAGAGCAGAGAACAAGGCGTTTGGGCCCCATGGTCAAGTAAGCCAATTGTTTAACTTCCTGCCCAAGAAGAACAGCTCAGGCCAGAGGTTGTCACTATGGACATTTGGGCCCCCTAATTCTTTGTTGTGGCGGCCGTCCTGTGCATTGAGGGATGTTTAGTAGCATCCCTGGCCTCCCCCTACTAGATGCCAGTAACACTCCCCCTAAACTGTGACAACTGAAGATGCCTTCAGAAATTTCCAAATGTCTCTTGGGAGACAAAATCCTCCCCTGCTGAGAACTGCTGCAATTTTGAGGGGAGAAGAGTTTGGGGGGCAAAGAGATATGTTGGAGCTAGAAACCCACAGAGATTGTTCGCAAGTCTGGTTGGGTCTGTCTTGCTGGCCTGTATTCTAACCTGACACGTGGAAGGAAGTCAGTACCTAGTGTTGACTCAAGAAGTGAATGAAGGAACGCATTCTCCATTTCCCTCCTATGGAAACGTGGGCTCTTGTGAACACGATGAGTCTGAGGGGAGGACAGCTGACAGGACAGGCACACCCTGGACACAGGGCAAGGGACAAACCATTGCAAAAGATGCCAAGTGACACCAGAGGCTGTGACGGGCTCTGAGCAGCGGTGATGGCTGGGGACGTAGATGCTCAAGCCCATGGGTGAAAATCTGGCTGGCCGTGGGCACAAGGATGGGACTCAGCTCAGGAGAGCTGGGCATGGGTCACTGTGGGGCTATGTGCTGGCCCCTGGCTGATGGAGGCCCTGCATTTGTGCTTTTGCAGCTGTGCCCTGTGATCGAGGCAGCCTTTGAGGACATGCGTGAGGACCTCCTGAACCTGACGAAGGGTAGGTGCGCCGCTCTCTCATACCTTTCTCCTTGACTGCTGAGCTGGCCTCCAGGCCCTGGCCCTGCCCAAGGCAGGCCTCCCCCGATCAGGCTTGAGCAGCAACTTGGCCCAGGAGCAAGTGAGACAAGAATCATCTGATCCCTGCCCAGGATGAGCAGACAGGAAATCACCACAGCTGTGACTTCATGAGCACACAGTATGTGCAAGGTTCTATGTGAGCCAGTGGGCGCCCCAGATAAACGCAAGTTCAAATCCCAGTTCTGCCACTGATTTGCTCCATGGCTTTGAAAAAGCCAACTCCACCTCCTTATTCTGTTTCCTCATCTATAAAATGGGGTTTATGCAGCCCTACCTCACAGAATTGTTAGTGAGGCTTAAAAGTTTATGGGAAAGTTCCAGATACATAGCAGGTTCTCTGCCTGGCACAGAGAGGTGCTTACAGATGTGTGCTGGATGGATGGATAGATGGATGGATGGATGGATGATCAGAGACTACTATGGCCTACTAGGGAAGAAATAAATTGTATCCTCAGATCACTCACAGTGAAATTCTGAGTTCTTGGACCCCTCAGAGAGGGAACTGGTAGGAAGAAGAAAATTCTACCATCTACTCTTTTGGGACCTGAAGAGGTTCATTCAAAGCCCCCAGAGAGGAGTGGAAAGAAGAGAATGGAATCAATAGGCATTCAGCACCCATAGAGCACCTGCTTTGGGCCAAGCCTTTGGGCTGAGTGTTTTATATACACTATCTTACTGACTCCTCAGACAACTCCATGAAGTGGAGTGGATCATTACCTCACTTCACAGATAAGGAAACTGAGGCTCAGAAATGAAATCATTTGTCCAAGTCCACAGAGGAAATTAATGATAGGGGAAGGCTTTAACCCAATTCTTCAAGTTCCAAGTCTGGTTTAATTCAGATTTGAGCCAACTTTACTAGGTACCAGTCCTGTACAACCTATGAGGCAGGTATACTACTCTATCCCCATTTTAAGATGAGGAAACTGAGGTTCAGAGGCAGGAAGAGGCTAGCCAAGGCTGCTGGGGCTCCAACCCAAGTCTGTCCGGCTTCCCTGCTCCCCAGGGGCAGGGCAGGAGGCCTCCCCGAGGAGTAGGCAGACCAACGACCAGCTCCCCGCCCGCCTCTGCGCCCCTCCCTTGTCCTCTCCATTTTCCGCCCGGGCACATGAGACGCTACCGCCATCTGGCGGCCAAGTGGGGAATCCCAAGGCAAACGCACGCAATCTCTAGCACAGACCCAGACCCTGGGGGGGCGTGCAGATCAGTCTGGTGGGGGAGGTAGACAGGTATAAGCAGTAGGTCAGTTTTGTTCCAAACCAGAACGTTGGCATAGGACCGACTGGGTTCAGCTCCTTTCACAGTATGCCCTTGAGCAAGTCACTTCACTTCCGTGAGCCTTGCTTTCCCCATCTGTAAAATGAGGGTAATTGTAGGACCTACTTCCTAAGGTTATTGTGAGGATTCCATGAGCTAACACATGTAAAAGTTTAACACATTACCTGGTGCTTGATATATGCTCAATAAATGTCAGTCAGTATCATCATCATTTTTTTTTTTTTGATGTTGCGGATAGGAGTTTATTAATTTATTTATTTATTTTTGCTATGTTGGGTCTTCATTTCTGTGTGAGTGCTTTCTCTAGTTGTGGCAAGTGGGGGCCACTCTTCATCGCAGTGCGCGGGCCTCTCACTATTGTGGCCTCTCTTGTTGCGGAGCACAGGCTCCAGACGCGCAGGCTCAGTAGTTGTGGCTCATGGGCCTAGTTGCTCCGTGGCATGTGGGATCCTCCCAGACCAGGGCTCGAACCTGTGTCCCCTGCATTAGCCGGCAGATTCTCAACCACTGCGCCACCAGGGAAGCCCCATCATCATTTTTATCATGGTCCTTATCAACACCATCATTACGCCTGCCCCTCCCCTTACTCCACCTCATGCAATAATGCTGTCCCAGCCCAAAGCAGCCCCAAACCATCCCATCCAATACTGTCCTCCGCCCTCACAGAACTTTCTTCTTCTCCCTGAGCAGTGCCTGTTTCTCTCAACTCTGACCATCTGGAGTTTGACTTTATGTCTCCTGCCATTGACCATAATGTTGTTCATCTCATCCTGGGGGTGAGTGTCATGGGACCTCAAGGAGAAAGTGGGGACATCACTGCCCTTCTCTGACCCCCAAGGGTCAGACACCATGGGTCTGTTTCAGGGGAGAAAAACGCCAATCACAGTTAGGACACACAGGCTGATTTAGAAGAATCTCAACAGGCTGAATGTGTCCCATGTAAACCATTCTGATGGAGAAAAATCAGCAGCTGGAAGCCACACACAGAACATGGACCCCAGTGACCTGATTTCCTCCAACCCTGATTTTTCCAGTCAGGGTCCAGATTGTGTGGGGTTCTTGGCCTTTCTTGCAGGCAAGCCCCTTCCATTCCTCAAATATCTGGTGACCTTGAACAAGAGCCCAGGATGGAGACACATCATTGAGGATCACACAGACCTAAGTTTCTCTCCCAGCTCCACAGCTCCCTGGTGTGTGACTTTGGGCAAGTTTCTTCACCCCTCTAAGCCGCAATTTCCTGATCTGTAAAATGTAATAACAATGGTCACCAAGGAGAGGAAGAAATGAGGCTGCATGGGGCCTGGCAAGAAACCAGTAACCATCAGTTCTCTATAAAATGTGGAGTCTCCCACCCACACTGGGGCTGGACGCCCTCAGGGACCAGTTCAAGCAACGGAGCGTGAATCTCAGACCAGTTTTCATGGATCCTTGGAAAACAGCAGCATCAAACATTTCCATCCGTTCTGTTGCAGTCTTGAATTTTCCCTTCATCTAAAGGGTTTGTGAGGTATCTGAGACGTTGAAACCTAAATGCCACATAAGACATCTAGATTTTTTAAAAATCAGAGATTACCTGAGGGGTGCAAGTGCAGTAGATGTTGCTAGGCACCTGAGATAAGTCATCATCTACAGCAAAGCACTGAATGCCAGGCTGAGTTTCCTGGCAGCAAATGCAAAAAGGGAAACAAGCTGAATGGTGTCATTTCCTTCTAGGTTATTACTGGATACGTCGTGGAGTTAAAGTTCCCAGACAACTTTCTGCTCTGTGTCTCCTTAGGCCAAGTTGGTGGACTCGGAAGGAAAGGTGACTAAGCTGTTCAATGACAGTGTGGATTCCCTGAATCTGCCCTCCCTATACCACAGCCCTTTCAGCCTCACCATGAGGAAGGATATAGTGAATGCTGCAGTAGCTGCCTTGCTCCCTCCAGAAGAACTCATGGTCCTGTTGGACTATGTGGTAAGCCTCAGCATGGGACAGAGCGTGAAGCCACCTCTGCCGCATTATGGGGATTTCCTGAATCAACGGGGACACAAGGACCCCTAAGCAGGCACCATCTGTCAGGCTCAGCTTACATACCTCCAGTGATGGAGAGCTCACTCCCTTCTCGAACAGACCCTGCCTCTGATATATAACTCCAAAGCTGAAAACCTCCCTGTAACATCCAGCACCAGTCCTAGTTCTGCCCTCCTGGAACCTGAAATGCCTGCTTCCTCTACCAAATAACAGGCCTGTCCAAAGGGCATTTTAGATTCTGACTGGCCCTGGGATGGTCGTCGTCCACTGCAGGACCCATGGCAGACATCACTAATCTCTCGGGGCCCTCCTTCCTGTTGAGCCTGGATGCCGACACAGCCGCAGAATCCTGATCAAACCAGCACAGCAGAAAACCACCCCTAGTCAACTGGAGTGTGCCACCTCACCGGGGTGACCGATGGGGAAATCGAGGCCCAGAAGGGGATAGGGTTGGCCCAAAGTTAGGGGAGTGGGACAGGACTTCAGGTCAGCTGACAGACAAGAGATCACCAAGATCTCGGGGATTAGAAGTCAGGGTGAGGGGCTGGGATGACAAGAAAAGGGGACTGGTCACCAGCAACCACATTCATGACTATAGTAAGAATTCGGTCGCTTCTCTATGTCCTCAGAACAGGGAGCCAGCCGCCCACAGACCCACGAGCACCACCAACCCACAATAAAAGTCCAGGCTGGCGGGGACTTCATTCTCCACAGCAGCTGACATAGGGGATGTTTCCCACCAGGGACAGACATGTGCACTGGACCACCAGGTCCTCCCAGCTTTTCTGGGGTTTGGGGGATCCCAGCAGTGGGGCTGCTGGGGGTGTGTCTCCCCTCTTCCCGCCAGCGGACCTGCTCTGGCTTCCTCTCTTCCTTAGCTTCCTGAGACGGCCCGCAGGCTGAAGTCAAGCATCAAGGTGATCAGTGAAAAGGTTGGTCCATTTGCCATCTGCAGCCTGAAGGGTGTTTGCTGTGGTCTGTCTACTGGCCTCTGGGGAGTAAAGTATGTGTGGAACTGCTCTGTCCTTCGAGCACTGGTGACTGTAACAGACTGGTCCCAGTCCTCACGGATATTTCAATCTAACAGGACAGTTTGACCTGAATCAAATAATTACACAGATGATAATTCAGTTACAAGTGTGATGACAAAGGACAGATTCTAGGGGTTATGAGAGCACTACTGGGGCACCTGATAGAGTCTGGGGGATTAGGAAGGGCTTCCCTGAAGGGAAAAGTATTCCAGATATAGGGAGAAGCAAAACCAAAGGCTGTGAGATGGGGAGAGCAACAGTCTATTCCAAGATCTGAGGAAGCAGGGAGTCCAGGAAGGTTGACAGTGGCCAGACCACATGGGGCTGCATGGGGCCGGCAGGCCATGGTGAGGCACTTGGGAGGTCACATGTGGGTCTGATGTCCTTTCAGGCAGCAAATCAGCTGGGGCGCACACAAATCGTGAAGATCCTGACTCAGAAGACCCCAGAGCTCCTTGTGGACCAGGGCCATGCCAAGGTGGCCCAACTGATCATGCTGGAAGTATTTGCCACCAATGAAGCCTACCGCCCCTTCTTCACCCTGGGCATTGTGAGTTCAGTTGTCTGAGACGTTGGCAGCAACCTGGGGGACACCCCTGTCCACTGTTCCTGTTCACCCCTTTTGCTTTGCTAAACCTTTCCACCACTCTTTTTATCTCAGAGGGATAGGGGAAGGGAATTCTGAACCAAGAATCAGGAGATTTGGGGGCCCAGCTCTTTATTAGTCAGGATCTTTGGGCAGAAATTTAATTGACATGCACAAAATGAATTCTATTAGCTCATATAACTGAAAAGTCTAGGTCAAGATAGCTTCAGGAACAGCTGGATCCAGGCGTTCAAGCAATGTCATCTTCATTCTTCTCTCTTCCCTTGTTTTTCTTTGTGCTACCTTCATCCTCAGGCAGGTTATCCCTTCATGGAAGTGCCCCCAAGCTACATCAGGCTTATAACCTATCCGCTTGGCAACCCCAATGGAAAAGCTTCTCTTTCCCAGTAGTTCCAGCAGAACTTCCAAACCTGACTCTCATTGGCTGAGTTAGGGTCAAATGCCCACTCATGAACCAACCAGTGTGGCCAGAAAAACGAAGTATGTAAATTTTCTGAGCTGGGACACACACACACAAACACACAGGAGTGGGGGATTGGGTTTGGCTCTATCCAAACCACAGGGCTGAGAGGGAAAGGGGTAATTCCTCTTCTGAAATATGAACAGAACTAAATCAGCTCCAAGTAAGTTCTTAACTGATTTTTGCAGTAACCCCAGCAGGTCAGATCTCAGAGCTTCTATATAGGGGGACCCTGTGCGTAAAGGTATGGGGCTGGGAGTCATCAAAGGGCAAGCCCAGTAGGAAGGTATCTTAGATGGGGCCCTTAGAAACAGGCCCGAGACAAAGACTCTTATAAAAGTGATGTATTGGGGGAGAGCTCCCAGGAGAAGGACTGAGCAAGGATGTGGTCTCAGCTGGAGGCTCGCTTCTGCTTCACTCCACAGAGAGCTCTGGAGCATGGCGGCACCACAGAGTCGAGTCCAGGCTGAAACAAGAAGGTTGGCCTTTTGTTCCCCCTTGTCTTTCAGTTGTTGGCCATAACTGCCCCCAGAGTAGGCACAACATAACCTCCCAGCAAGGCCGCTCCGCTCCAGCAAGGGCAGTTCCCCAGACAAGGGGAAGGCTGGGCACTGTTCCCAGCTGCATTCAGCTGAAGAATGATGCCCCACCCCAAAAATGGATCTGAGTGGGCCACCAGCTGCATGCTACAGAGGGCAGGGAGAAGAAAGAGACGAGGCAAGGTTCATGGTTGGGCCCTGGATAAGTGAGGCCGAGGAATCTGGACATCACCTGGTTGTTGGAGGCTAACGTTACACTCTCCTCACAGGAGGGTCGCTGCATGTCCTGTGCAGGCTGTCCACACGCCACGTCAGCGGGCACCATTCACACAACTCCAGGACGCACAGTGCCCTGGTTTCCTGTGTGGGAGGATACTCTGAGCCCCCAACCAGCAGGGGAAGTGGACTGCCCCTGGCCAGCCTCACTCCCTGGGGACTTCCCCTCCATGGCCAATGGCAGGCACTTTTCAAAAGGTCACCAAGCCCAGGCCTGCAGGAGAAGTTTGTTCTCTGGGTGCAGCTGCCCTGGAGCTGGAGCCTGGCACTTGGGCTCACCCCAGCCCATGGGTCAAGATGATGGATATCTTCGGCACCTGCGTTTCAGGCCTGGCTTAGTTTCTGACCTTTCCAATAATAATAACCGGTTAAGATTTACCATCCTGTCTGCCCCTCAGTTTCCTCACCTCTACAATGGGGTAATAATAGGACTCACTTCACAAGAGTCGTGAGGATCAAAGGAGATGATCAGATAAAGCTCTTAAAACACCACCTGACACACAGTGAGGGCTCTGTGTGTATTGGCTACTGTCATCATTGTCATGATCAGTAATCCTCTGTGCAGTCTCTTCAATGGGGAGTGGGTACAGGTACCAGCCCAACAAAGAAGGAATTTGAGGCCCACAGAGGTCAGACCGTTTCCCAAGGTCACAGCCAACAGCTGAGATTCAGACGGTGTCAGCTTGGTCCCAGAGCCTCCTTGCAGAACCCCACGCTCTACACCTGACACATCCTCTAAATAAATGGGGCCTGGGTTTCTCTTGTTGCAGGAAGCCATCTCAGAAGCTCAGTTTTACACCAGAGGTGACCTACTTATGCTCTACTTTAACAAAATCAGGTAAACATGAAAATCACTGTGAAGATTCTGCTGATGAAAATGAGTCCTGTCTGGTGACCACTGGTTTCTTTAAACACCCAGTGTTTTGAGCCTCTGGGGTGACAGTGTGAGTGAAGCCTGCTTCAGGACAGGCAGAAAGGCTGTCTTGCCGGGTCTGTCCTACTGTCAAGGACTGAGTGTGAGAGAAAGCAGAGGGACATGGCCTTGCAGCAGTCACGGGGCAGGCTGACCCTGGCCACGCGGGAAGGGGCCGCCCAGCACCATCCCCTCGGCCTGGGGCAGCCCATTTTGGACACCAAGAAAGTGGCAGTGACAGTCATGCCCAGATGCTGAGCCCCCACGGAGCCCAGCCCAGCAGCACACGGCTCCCGCTGCCTCCTACAACCCTGCCTGTCCTCCCCTCATCCCACCACCCTCCTGCTGCCCCAAAGGGAGTTCAGGGGTTGCAAACTGGAGCCTCCTGGGACAAATCAAGCCCATGGATGTGTTTCCATCAGCTCACATAGGGTTAGGTTTTTTAATATAAATTAGTCGCCAACGTATACAAATCAGAATATCTGGCCGCCATGGCCTGCATTCCTACATGGCAACAAACAGTGGAGCTAGGAATTAGGTACCCCCTTTAGAAGGAGAAAGAGCTCCTCAGTCCACCATGGTCCTCACTCCTGGGGGTGATCTTTCTGCCTGCTCTCTGGGCAACTATTTGTTTGCTATCTCCCCCTGCTTCCCCCATGCATTACAATGTAAGCTCCATGAAGCAAGGATTTTATTTGGGTCACTGCTGTACATCCAGAGCCTGCACCGTGTCTGGTACACAATAGGTGCTCAGTAAGTAGTTGGTGAATGAATGAATGGGACTCCGAGGGACCAGCCTCATGGGCATCTTCTGTTGCAGCTCTGATCAGATTCACCTGATGAACTCAGCCATTGGCCTGTTCAATGTGAGTATGTACAGATTTTCCCTGGGTATGCAGGGGATTGCCGAGGATAGTCCATCTCAGAAGCAGACATTGCCCAGGATTTGCTTTGAACAAGGTCCCCACGGGCAGCCCCATGGTGAGCTGGCCAGCCTCCCCGATCTCAGCCTCAAAGTCCAACCTCCTGGTTCAGGTGTTTACTGAGCACCTACTGTATGCCAGGCACAGCTGAGAATACACACATTCACAAACACACAGATACACACAGACTTCCCTTCTGTAAAGTTCTGACCCTAAATCAGAAACAAATCTTTATTCACATCTCATTTTGCTCATATAGACTCACCTCAGTGGTGACCCTGGGCAGCCCCTTCCCCCCAGGTCCTCAGTTTCCCTGAGTCAGACTGAATCAGAGATCTCAAATTGGCTGAATCCTGTCTTCTGCTGTGGTGGGGTATTTGTTTCTATGTTTTGGAGAGGGGCAAATTTTTCCACCCTTTTGTTCTTTTAATTTTTTTTGACAAATTTTTTTTTTTTTTTTTCGGTACGCAGGTCTCTCACTGCTGTGGCCTCTCCCGTTGCGGAGCACAGGCTCCGGATGCACAGGCTCAGCGGCCATGGCTCACGGGCCCAGCTGCTCCGTGGCATGTGGGATCTTCCCGGACCGGGGCGCAAACCCGTGTCCCCTGCATTGGCAGGCGGACTCCCAACCACTGCGCCACCAGGGAAGCCCGACAAATATTTTTTAATGGGGAGGTTTCCACATGAAAATCAGGACTTCTGGCTTCCCTTGAGAAGTCAAAAACTCGGGAAACAGGGTGAAATTCCCTTGGAGAATTCTGCTGAAACAGAGCGGTGGAGCCCTTGAGATTGGGGGCGAGGGATGCATCCCACAAACGTACGCCAGTCCCCTACCTGCTGGATCTAGGGTCACCTGGTTTGTGCCCCACCCCTCCCCCCACAGCCTGTCTTGTCCATGGAGCCCTTGCAGTTCTGACCAGTCAGGAACCTGAGATTCAGCATCTCCACCAGCTGCCCTCGCCATAGGGCGGGACTGTGCCCATCCTAGCAATGGCTGGGAGGACTTCAGATTCTCAGCCAGGGTGATGGAGCCCCTTCTCTTTCACAGCCTGAACTTCTGAAAGACTTCACCACCAAGATCCTTGCCTCCATCCTGCTGCCAAACGAGAACGGTGTGTCCCTTTGCTGTCCATCCCCCTGGTCCCCAGGGCATTGAGGGCAGGTGCTTTACTTCTCCTGCCTGTGTCTCCATTTGGGGCCCCTTTCATTTATTTTCCACCTATCCTCAGAGCCTAGTTCTAATTCTGCCTCCTCCAGGAAGCCTTCCAGGTCACCCACCTGGAAATAAGCTTTCCCATCTCCAGCATCCCAGCCCAATTCCTTCACTCATGCCAGAGCCTAGGCATGCATGGCAATGCCCCAGGCTCACAGGGCTGACAGCAGGAGAGAGACAGAGGTGGAAACAGACAACTAGAGCACACCCAATGTGCCTCCGATAGACCGGGGCTCAAGTGCTGATTCCCCTTCTTGCTGGCTGCCTGGCCTTGGACAAGCTGCCTTATCATCCTGAGCCTCAGTTTCTCCCTCTGTAAAATGTGAAAATAAGAGCACCTTCCTCAGAGGCATAAAGGAGAAGATGTTTGTATGGGGGCAGAGAGGGGGCGCCTGACACAGTCAGCGTTCAACAGTTCTTAGCCTTTGCTGTTGTTGGCTGTTATTCGTGTCAGTAGTGGAGGAAGCCAAGAGAAAAGGTTGGAATTATTCCCGTTCAGCCCCAGGTCTTGGGGATGGGGAGAATTGGTAACCTCTGACTTTTGTCATGTCTTTGTTTTATCAGAGTAAGAAATCTCAAAGTATAGGCATGTGTTGTGGATGATGGGAGGCCCTGATCTTTCTTGAGCAGGAGCAGGAGAGGATGTGAGGGTACCTTTAGGAGCAGCCAGAAGCTGGGGCTAGAGACAAAAAATGGGGAGATGAGGCTGGGTGGACGCCAGGGCTGGAGAACAGGGAGAGGCAAAAGGGGCAGTCTGAGTCGGGAGTGCCACGTCGAGGAACTGTGAGCCTCCCACAGCTGCCCAATCCCACCCCAGGCCCACCATTCTCTGACCACACTTGTGATTTCAGGCAAATTAAGATCCGGGATCTCAGTGTCAATGGTGAAGGCCTTGGGATTTGAGGCAGCTTCGTGGTCTCTGACAGAGGTGAGTGGGGTTAAACATACAGTCGCAGGGAGAGCCCAGGGATGGGAGGTGGGTGCTGCTCTCCAATCCTCGTCCCTCTGGTCACTTATGGGGGACCTTGGGCAAGTCCCTTCTCTCTCAGGGCCTCATGTCCTCAACTGTAAGCGGAAGAGGATGGCTGTCCTAGCCTGGAGTCATAAACCTCCAGCCTCTTCTATCTTACCTGTCATCCCACCTGGCAGAGGGAAGGGTAGGAGGCTTTGTTAACTGGCTTCAAAGGCAAGTTGACATTTGACTCATTTTCAGCTGCCCACCCTCAAAAACTGTGTCCATGCTTCAGCTGGCTTTGATGGAGAATTATGACAGCATACTGTGCATGATACCTAGGCTGGGTCTAGACTCAGGGACCAGAGGACCAGCTCAAATGCTAACTCTGCCTCTCTCTCTAGCCAGGGGCCCTCAGGCAGATCCTTTGGCCTCTCTGAGCCCAGGTTCCTTACCCATAAAACCAGCAGGTGTCTAAATATACAGGCCAGCCATGCACTAATGAACTATATACAATGATTCAATTATAATATAAGCAGTTTATCTAAGACACATACTGCATTTAATTCGTGTTGGATGGACACAACAGGTGTCCATCCAACTGGGTGGCCGGAGCTTAGTATATCTCATGTATCTCTTATTAGGGGGCATTTAGCAACTGTCCTTTTTTTTTTTTTAATCAAGTTGCAAAGCATCATTTGCAGTTCGGGTTAGAAAGGTATCATTTCACGCTTTGGATCTGCTTTTTCCGAATTTCCTGTTTTGCTCTATTAATTTGTTTTGGACTAGCAGCACACTGATATCCTTTTTATAGCCTTACAATATAATATGTTTTAAAATCTAGTCAAAGGAATGAATAAATGGATAGATTTGAGGGAATTCCCTGGCGGTCTAGTGGTTAAGACTCCGTGCTTTCACTGCCAAGGGCCCAAGTTCAATCCCTGGTGGGGAACTAAGATCCCACAAGATGCGCAGCATGGCCCCCCAAAAAAAGGATAGATCCGAGATTAAACAAGTATGGCTTTTAAAGTTAATGGTAGAATCTAGGTGATGAGTATACAAGTGTTCACTATAAAATTCTTTCAACTTTGCTGTATATTTGAAAATTATCATAATAGAATGTTGGGGGAAATCTAATAGGTTACATTCCTTGTATCACACTTAGTTTCCTCAAAAAAGGCAGACTGTTGTTAAAAATTTAGCTGCCTGGGACCCAATGGATACAGCCAGGAATCTACATTTTCCAAAACTTCTTGGGAGTTTTGTTGATCCGCTGGGCCTGGGGACAACAGTCCTATATAATCCCAGACTTTGCACCCAGATACTTTACCTGTGCCCCAGGCCCCTGCATGGTGTCACTGTTCACACACAGACGCTCCTGCTCTGACCCTCCCAAGAATTTTTTATGAGTGAGTTCAAGGTCATGACCCCCAATACCAGCAGTCACCTTGTGGAGGATAAACTAGCATAAACCACAAAAGGGCAGAATGTTAAAAAAACTTTTGTGACTTTTCTCCTCCAATTCCAGGATGCCCTTGTGGTCACCCCGGCCTCCTCGTAGAACCTCAGACCATTTTCCTCTCTCCCAGTGAAGACTTGCACTGGAAGTGTGGAAGCCAGCTCTGTAGACTGGCCCTCTCTGCAATAAATAAACTTGTCTGTGACTCCTGCAGTCTGGAGTGTGTCTTTGTCCCAACTCAGAGGTCATTTTGCCCCTGGCAGGCTTAGGGACTGGACATCCAAGCCACATCTAGGTCATGTTCAGGCACATCTGAGCCAATCTGAGCCATGTCCAAGACATGTCTTGGTGATATCAAAACACACGTGGACAAGGTCCAAGGTTTTGGCCACCTCCCTGAGCGACAGGAATAAAAAAGCCAGTTGCCCCCTCCTCCCTTCCACGTCAGCTTCTAGACCACCTATGGTAGGACAACCTCTCTGGTGGGTACGCACGTTGTGTTGATCTTGGTGATGTGGTGGGTCGGGGGCTCACTGAACAGTGTGACTCTGGAGGCAGGATTTGAGTTCTGGCCTGGACCCCTCAGTGGCTGCTTGACCCTAAAATATGGCTCCCCGTCTCTGGGCCTCTGCTTCCTTCTCTGTAAAATGGGGAGAATCTTAGTCCCCACCTTGGAGGGCTGTGGTGAGGATGAAATGAGAGAAAATAGTTCCCAGCATGTGGGAGGTGCTCAAACAATGTCATCTGTGGGTGATGTCATTGTCACTCTTGTTACCTGGACTCCGGGATGTTGGGCCTTATCACTGAAGTCCCTTCCCACTTAGACAGCATGTGACTGTCATTGTCTCCCTGGCCCTCCTGATGCCAGCAGGTTCAGGACAGACAATAAGGCCCCTGTCCTCCAGACTCTGGGTCCGTCCCAGCACACAGAGCTCACATCCCATGAGGGGCCTTGCAGGAAGGGACAGGCGGGTGTTTCAGGAAAAGACGCTACACAGCTTCACAGTAAAAACATCCATAAGAACACCTCGCAACGTGGAACGGCAGCCAGGAGGGAGTTTCTCCTACAGGACTCCTACAGGTTAGGCCGAGAGGGACAGGACAAGACCCTGCACGAGGTGCTTACACTGGGGTCAGTGAACACTCGCTGGGCAGTTGCTGAGTGCTGGGCCCTGTGCTGCAGCTCCCCACATGCATCCTCGACCCCCAGCCACGCTTTGTGGTCCACATCCCACATTCCATTACTTTTCTATATCATATTAAACCTGGGTTTTGAGCCCCCACTCACAAGGGAGCTGAGACAGTCCATCTCCATCTTCTCTGGCTCCCTAGGGTCATGTCACGTTCTATTGTGAGAGTTTCCCAGGAGCCTGGAGGGTAGGGCAGGGCTTCCGGTCCTTGGTCCCATCTGGTGCCGATGAACGGATCTCCGTCCCAGCCCACAGGATCCTGTCAGAGGTGAGCAGCTTGGAGCCCTGGCCACACTGGGGCACTTCCCCAAAACAGCCATGGCCATGGCTCCTGGGTTCCGACCGCCCACAACCTCTTGGGCTTCCTGGAGGGTGGTGAATATATAACCCTGCTTCCTCACCCCTTGGGAGCAGGGAACAACTCCACACTGGCCCCCACAGCACCCCAGAGGAACTGAGCCCCAGGTGCCCATGGGGACACTTGCTTGACACGCACCTTTATGGGCTGTCTCCCTCCCTGCCTCACTTTCCCCCTCTCCTACCAGTGTCTCCTGGCATCACCTCCCCTATCAGCTACCTGCACTCAAATCCTGGTCTGAAGTTCTGTTTCTAGGGAACCCAAACCAAGACAAGTATTTGCTCTGCAGGTACTAGGCCAAGGGTCTTACAGACCTTCACTCACCCAGTGCCTCTCCTATGCTGCTCCCACTTGGCAAGTGAGGAAACTGAGGTTCTCACAGCTCAACACGACTACCAAGCAGCCCCTATGCATTACCCCGCACCGCCTCCCTCTACTCTCTGCTCCCTCATCACTCCCCCAGAGTCTCCACCCTCCTGTAAAGAAGAAGAGAGGTGGTCTTCTGTGCCAGCCCCCTTCCGATTTGCACCCTGAAACACAGGAGCCATCCGTACACCCCTGAGGCAGGAGCCGCAGATCTGGAACTCCAAGATTCCAGCACCCTCCTGGGCTAGGAGAGGGAAAAGTCCTCTGCTTCCCTCTGAGTCTTAGCAGCAACAGCAAATGAAAAACACCAAGTTATATCTCAGTAACTCTTCCTGCCTTGCAGGAATTATTGTCTTACAGATGAGAACTCAAGTAACACAGAGCTGATGAAGTGGTGGGAACCCAAGCCTCACCCACTTGCCCCAGCCTCCCACCTGAACCCACAGCAGGACAGTGACCCAGTTTACTTTTTTCTTTTTTTAATTGGAGTACTGTTGCTTTATGTTGTGTTAGTTTCTACTGTACAGCAGTGAATCAGCTATACGTATACATATATCCCCTCTTTTTTGTATTTCCTTCCCATTTAGGTCACCACAGAGCACTGAGTAGAGTTCCCTGAGCTATACAGTAGGTTCTCATTAGTTATCTATTTTATACACAGTATCAATAGTGTATATATGTCAATCCCCATCTCCCAATTCATCCCAACCCCCCCTCCCCCTTGGTATCCATATGTTTGTTCTCTGTTCCTCAAAATAACAGTGACAACTAACAGCCTCTATTCCCTGAGGGCTACTCAGTTCCCAGTACAGTACTAGACATTTCCTGTGGGTTAACTTTCCCATTTTATAGATGAATAGACTGGGGCTCAGAGACAGACAATAATGATGTCTTGTACCTCTCTGTGTCCTTCCCAGGGCTTCCCTTTCATGGAGGAGACCCCCAGGAAATCTCCCTTCTCTCAGCAGAGATTAGTCCATGAGGTAAACATACAGAATTCATGGTGCTCCAGCCAAAATCTTTCCTCCTATCCTGTTTAGAGAGGCCAGATCTTGGAAGGGAAGGGAGACCTCTGTGCTTCCACCAATATCCGGCACCAGCCCCTAGTGACTCAGATGAGGAAATTAACCCTAGAGCCTTTCTCTGCTCAGGCAGGGGGACAGCACTTGGCAGTAATGTTGAGACCCAATTGACAGAAATGAGGGGGACCTGCCAACTTTTAAAGCATCTTCCAACCAAAACGTCCATGATGATGATGATGCTGAGATCCTAGAATAAGTACATCCCATCTGAAATATGGCACCAAACCATACTAATATCAGCCATTGACTTATTTATTTATTTGATTGCACTGGATCTTAGTTGTGGCTCATGGGCTCCTTGGTTGCGGCTTGCCAGCTCCTTAGTTGTGGCTTGAGAACTCTTAGTTGCGGCATGCATATGGGATCTAGTCCCCTGACCAGGGATCAAACCCAGGCCCTCTGCACTGGGAGCCCGTAGCTAACGTTGCCCTAGCATTTCCTGCATAGCTGTTGTCTTCCAGAACCAGCCCTTTCATCATCAGCCCCTCTGTGCCATGTTCCAGCCCAAGAATGGAGTTTAACACCTGCCCTAACCACATCTCTGACTGTGAAAGGGAAAGGAATTATCCACAAGGAAAATCTAAAAGCCGCCTAGAGGTGAGTCCTGCCCACCACTGAGATGACTGCACTGGACAGCAGTTAATGAAGGAGTGGATGCTGACACAGCCAGCTACGTGCACTCACAATGGTGGCATCAAGATTCTCATGGAAGAGGAGGTCTGCAGAGCAGTTTGGCTGGGAGTGAGGACTTGAGGTCTTGGAGCTGCATTACATAGTAACACCAAATTTCCCTTTCACTGGATGGCCAGTTTCCTCTCTGGGCTCTGATTTCAAATCCCAGTTTTGCCACAGACATGCTGTGTGACCTTGAGTAAATCACTTAACCTCTCTGAGTCTCCATTTTCTCATCTATAAAATGTAAATTAAAATAAGCAACTTTTTTGGAACATCCACATGAATTGCCCCAATGAATGTTCACAATACCAAAAGACATAGATGGATTATTATTCCCATTTTGCAGACATGAAAAGTGAGGCTCAGGAGGGAAAGTAACTGGCCAACATTTACACAGCTACTGAGTGACAGTGGGGATTGAACCCAGACCTATCTGGCTGCAGAGGCATGGCATGGGTGCCATATATGGAAAGAGCATGGGGAGTGGCCACAATGTGGTCACTGGGTCCCTCCCAGGCCTGCCTCTAGCCCTGCTCTCCTCTACACACACCCCAACATACATCCTAACTCCCTTGGGTCCTGTGGCTGCTACATCCTGCAACAGGAGCCTCCTCGGGCCCCTCCTGAGAGCTGGAGGCCCTGCCCCAGGCTCCATAGCACTGATGTGGCTCCTAAGGGAAAGGGCCCACCCCCAAAACCACAAGGCCCCCACCTACTTCCTCCCTGGGGTCTGTTGGCCCAGGACTAGAACCTACCCCTAGGACCCCAGTGACTAGCCCCATCAGTTTTGGCCAGAAGCCCCTAGCCTTCCGGTGCCAAGAGGACCCCTCCCTCCTCTGAAGGGCTCCACTGAGCACAAACCGGCCAGGAGGCTGGACTTCCTGCCATGTTTCCACCCACCCGAGCTTCAGAGCTCGGTTATAAAAGTTGTGCCTTTCTGAGAAGCTAGTGACAGAGGCCCAGGAGAGATTCTGGACAGCCCTATTCTTGGAGAGGTAAGGACAAGGAGGCTAACATGGGCATTTCGCAAATATTTCTTAAGTACCTACAATAATGTGGTGATGTGGTGCAGAGATTCTCAGCCAAACTGGGTTCCAATCCAGGCTCTGCAGCCACTACCTGTGTGACCTTGGGCAAGCCATTTCTCCTATCTGTGCTCATTTCCGTAAAATAGGCCTGCTATCAATGACCCCAGACCGTTATGGTAAGGATTCAATAATGCAACAAAGCTTGTAAAGCTCTCGGCATAGAGCCTGCTACATAGCAAGGACTCAAGTAAAAGTCGGGGCCAGTATGATTCAAGACTGGTACGAGATGGAGACAGCTGGGGGACGGTGTGAAGTACTAAGGGCAGGAAGGGAGGAGAGACCTGACTTGGGTGAACTGATGAAGTGCCTAACATGGGCACTGGCTAAACACTGGTTGGATGAGTAGTGGATGAATTTAAGATCAGCCTGGTAGCAGAATATGAATAGTTAATGCCATGAGTACACATTTCCCAATCCAAAATTCACATTTGCAAATAAACAAGAAACTTTCTTTTTTTTAGGACCCATTTTAATCACTGTTTTGAATTCCTGCCATCAAGCAAAAAAAACTGGATGTTGCTGATTTGAGACAATGCCAGGATGTTCTCAGGCACTCCAGAGTAGGCTCAGCCACTCTGGGGGCTTTGCCCAGAGGCAGCATTTACCCTCTGGGTAGTGCCTTCATGGGCATTGGGGTGGGGATGTGGTGGCTCCTTAACGGGCCCTGCTTACGCTGGCATCTGCCCTGGACGTGTCTGTATCTAGCTGGCCTCTGCCTTGCAGTTCCAAAGGCTGCATCTCCTGGCAGCACACCCTTGCCCACCTGGAGCGCCCCCTGCCTGCAGGCTCTGGGGTCCCAACTATGCCACTTGGCCACCTGGGCTGAGGCTCAACAGGCAGGAACCGGTACAAACGTACTGTTTGAAATACTGAAGTATTTCCCTACTAGTTGGTAAAGAGCCATGACTTTAAGCCCCCCAGGTGCCTACCCTGGCCACTATGGAGCTTCCCCCAGGACCCCCAACCCTTGTCCTCCTCAAGATTCAGAAACCTCCATGGTTTTAATGTCTCACAATGTCGCACAGCCACATTAACAGCTGTTGGGCACACTGCTTGCTAAGTGCTTTGTGCATATTGAGTGCATTCCCCACAACAATCTATGATTGTCCCCCATTTTACAGATGAGAAAACTGAGGCACGGAGAGATCAAGTAACTTGCTCAGGGTCACACAGTCTGGAAGTGGCAAAGCCCAGAATTGAAGAGAGCCCACTTGAGAGGGAAGGACATTTCAGGCAGAAGGAACCGAAAGCACTAATGTGAGATGGTGGGGGTAAGGCTGTGTTCAAGGACTAGCAGATCTAGAGCGAGGGGGAGAAGAGAGGGAAAGAAAGCTGGAGAGATGGCTCTAGGAGAGGCAGAGCTGGGAGAAGCTAGCCAGTGGCTCCCCAGTGAGGTGGCCAGTGGGGTTCCCAGCTCTGTGTCCCCAGGTCCTGGCCAGGAGGATGCTGCTGTTCTGGGGGTCACTGCTATGCTGGGGGCTGCTGCCCCAGGCCCCGGGGGAGGCCCAGCACCTAGTCTTCTTGCGCTTCAGCAAGGATCAGCTGGAAACAGGTAGCTTTTTAAGGGGTGGGTGGCAGGAGGCAGGAACTCAGGGAAGAGCAGGGGTGGAAGGTGACACCACCTCCCTGCTCAAGCCTTTTCCTCTTCTGGCCTCCCCATCACCAGCAGCAGAATTTGCCTTCCTTTGCCCAGAGCTGACCCCATCCTTCCTCTGCTCTAACACTTGCTGTGGCTCCCTAGTACCTTCAGGAGAAGCTCCAAGCTCTTCATCCTGGTTTTCAAGGCCCTGCCTCTCCAGCCTCTTCTACCACCACCTGCCC